CAGACTCTGAACTCCGAGAGAAGACAACAGATAAATTCCTTTGGCAGCTGTAGTTTCCAAAGAAACTGGGGGGAAGGTGAATGGACCAGTTTGGTACATTCTATTTGCCTGTTATATCTCATACTTTAGTTTATTCATCTAATCCATAGCACCTGCTTTTCATGTGGCCTAGCAGAGCAGAACTCCTCCTCAAATTCAAGCGACTAAATACTAAAATCCTAAAAAAAATCAGATAAAATTCAGCTCTTATATACTTTTCAATTTCTTTATTCAGTAATTTCACAGCAAAGTAGTCAAACTCTGAATTTTAAGTAACTGTGATTTTCTTTTCAGTAAACTGCATGGGTAAACACAAGTCACAGTGAAAAAAAGAAAATACATTGCATAGGAACATCAAGTTTGGCTATTAGCCCCAGAAAATCCTGGGTACTTCACTAGTTTCTTTTTACACAGGTAACTTTATAGGTCAAGATGCAATTTTTCTCAGGAATGTAGAAGTCAAAGGAAAATAAAATTACATTTTATGTGCTTTTAAAAGGGCAAATAAAATCAGCATTGAAGAAATGTCAATACAGTAACAAAAATAGTATATTTAATTGCACATGCCATTACATGTCAATTGCTCATGTATATATTAACAGACAACAGGGAATAAATTCCCTAAAAGGGATTTTGGTTGACAGCTTATTTATTATTTGGACAATTACTCTCACTTTTATTTTCAACCTGAGAAATAGGGAAAAATGTAAACAGGGATTAAGAAATCACTATAAGTCACTTGATAGAATTTAAACTTGACATAGTTTTGTGCTTCCATAGATGTAAACCCTTCTGGGTTTTTTTCCCCTCTAAGTAAGATAGGACTTAATAAACATGATCTAAAAAGAGAATATTGATGGTAATGGACTCAGTAGAAATATTAAATCAGCTTCATGGCAGGTTCTTTAGCTTGAGTACCTCTGCTATTTTATAGCAAACAAATTATTAGAACAGCTTAAGGTAAGCCTTTCCCTGAGAGCTTCTAACTCTGCAGTATTTAATTATCTTTTTGTAAGGAAGTGTTGCATTAACAGATACTTCTACCAATACTTCCTGTGCATTGAGCTACTTTTATACCAGACTCACTGTTTGTAGATTAACTAGAAGTTTTAAATGTGCATAACCACTTCAGTTTATTTCACAGTTAACAAAATAGATTTTTTTCACATCATTAGCCCTTATAGGTACTGTTTTTCAAACATAATTGTAAAGCAAAAGATAAAAATACTTTGTTTTATTCCTTAATTAGTACGTAAGTTCTGATGCCTTCTTGTTATACCCACTCTGTTCAGAAAGTGTTGGGACTCTGAAAAGTGAGTTTTTGTCGCTTACTGTTAGAACAAGCTCCAGTTCTTGGAAATCCTGTAGCCTTGCAACATCCTTGTCCTTTAAACAAATACAATAAGAAGTTAGGTGATAGTGTTAGTGTCCTTTAATTTTGCAGAGGTAAGTTAAAATAATAAGCTCATACTAACACAAGGTATGTATTTATTTTTAACTATGACAGTTCTTTACAGTGAACTGGAAAGCAAATATCCTGTTGCATCTTGTATTTACTCTAGGGTCTTACTCAACTATTCCCTTAAGTCTATTTTTAGAAGGAATGCAACACTGACAGTGAGTGCAAGTGATGAGTAGGATTACATTTGCAAGATCCACTGCATGGCACCCAAATCCTTTTCTTTTTCCCCTTGCTAATTCTTCGCATGAATTAGCAAGCTGATGAATTGAAGCTTGCATCTACCCAAGCAGGTCCTGCACGTGGACCTTCATGGCCTGCATGGCTTTCTTCAGGGCTACCCAGCAAGGCCAGCTCTGAGCCCCTGCAGCAGTTCTCTGCTGCCAACAGCAGTACAGAGTCAGGTTTGTGTCCCTGCAGGAATAACAGGGGTCCTGAAGTCCTACCAGAGAGCCTGAAGTGATTGGAGATGAAAATAAAAAGTTCTTTCAACAATAACTAAAGTTGGAAAGTGACAGAATTGCTTATGTCTTTTTTTTTTTCCTCCACTTTTTGACTAACACAGAGTAAGACATCCTATAGTCAGTGAAGATGCAGCAGAGTGAAGTCTGTGGATCTGTTCCTAATCAGATTTGCCCCAAGAGTGATGCCAACAATACTCTATAAGGATTTGAGAGTGAAAGAAAGGTCCGTGATGAGTTGGTAAAACAGGCCAACAGGTCCCTTCTCTGTTGGCTACAGGGTAAATGCTACTAAAGGAAGGACAGTTATGTTCAGAGCAACCCTGAAAAACACCTATGTGCAAGGACTGCAGCCAGGCCTTGCTGAACTCACAGAGCTTGGTTGAGCTCTGCAGGCCTTTTAAATCTGTTGGCAGCTCACAGCGGTGTTGTGTTGTACTGAATTGTACAACAGAGGCACAGAATCAGGTATTAACAGGTCCAGCACCAAATGATGATGAAAGCAGGTGCTCAAGAAATTTGAGAACCATTTTACTGAAGAAATCCCAAACAAGTGCTGAGTGTTGCAAGTTGAGCAGAGATTTTTCATTTTTGGTTGATTTTTTTTTTCAACATAGGCCTATGCAGGTGACCAAAAAATTATTCCTTTGTACCAGTAACCTAAAATCTCTTTTCTAAGTTGCTGCACTTCAAAAGGTAGAGCTCTTACCTTTCTTAACATTGTATTTGGTAATTTTCTGATCTTCTGGACATGCTCAGGGTTCACACCCAGCTCATGGCAACTCACTCGGAGCAGCTCCTTGTATGTCAGTTCTTGTCTGTCCAGTTCAATTTCAATGAAGTCATTTTCTCTAAGATTAGGGGTTTGTATTCTCACTTTAAGCACCAGTTCTATTAGAAATAAAAAGTCACATTAATAGGTATTATTATAGTATAATAGGTATTATAATAGTATAAAGAAATTGGAAACAATGTCTCTATAACAACTTCCAGGTATTTCTATGTTCTATTGTCGTTTGTGTCACTGGTAGGAATACATGAATACTCAGAAACCAAAACCTGGAATTGTATGACCACAGTTTTAATTACATTGATTTTCATCAAACTATATGAAAAAATCATAGCAAATCTAATACAATATATGTGTGCATGTCTGAACCATTGTATGAATACTCTTTAATTGATTTAAGCTGATTTAACAGCAGCTTGTACTGGTTATCAATTTACTGAGCAATCCAAGATTGCTTTTATTGGTATTTCTTGCTCTCAATTCACTTTGCATTGCTACCCCATGGTATCAGAATGCCTTTTACTTGAAGAACAAAATTGTTAACGGTAACTGGAATTCCAGGTTTCCCTCTCTGGGTAGGCAAAGTTTCCCTGCAGAACAGGCAGATCCTAGAACAGCTCAGTGCAAACTGAGCCATGTGAGGGTCTCTTGAGCTCACTAGCTTCTTGCTCATGATCTGTATTTGCAGCTTGGACTGTGCTATTTAGAGAATTAGATTACCCTGGTGTCTGTATGCTTTTGTAGCAATTGAGACAGCAAATTTTACATTAATGTTTTAGTAACAGTTCTAGCAGAAACAGCATATCTGCCTACTTCATTCCCTTCAAATGTTTCCTAAATGGCTAAGCATGGCAATCTGAAAGTCTCTGGAAACCCATGATTAGTCTGCAGTGCCCAAGGTGTCAGAAGATCAACACAAAGCCAGAAGAGACTTTTGGTATTACCTTGCATGTTGAGTGGAAAAGCTCCTGTGAAGAAAACAGGCTGAAAGGCTGGCACAGGTCCCATGCAGGAGCTGTTCCCTTGCTGGGGTAGGGACTGGTTGGATCCTGCTGGCAAAGAGGGACTTCTGCCCCAAGACACTGAGCCCTGGTAAACAGGAGCTCTCTGGAGGACAGGATTTGGGTGTGATGGCCCAGCAGACCCTTGAGGCAGGGGTGGGATGTCCCTGTTGGGAGGAGCCTCAGGAGCAGCGTTCCCAGGCTGCAATAGCGCTCGTGCTCGTCCACAGGTGTCCGAGTCGGGTACGGATGGAGGGTTGGTGTCTTGTGGTTCCAAGTGTGAAGGATTCCCATTCAGGGGAGGATCTGGAATGCTGGTACTCAAGGTGTTGTAAACATATGGGAAAGGTGGGTTAGCCAGGTAATTGGGGATGATTGGCAGATCTGAATCTTGCTTTAAGTCAGGGAGTTCATCTTCCACTGTAAAACAAACCAAACAACATTCTCCAAGACTGATTTTGGGTTTCTTATTTTTGGGAATGCAGTGTTAAAAGCATCACAGGTTAAAAGATGCATCAGGAACCACCATGTCTTTTTTTCGTACAATAAGCAGAATGCTCAGGTGTTGCCATCCAGACATAAAAGCTGAGTCTGATTCTAATAATTCCGGGGGTGGTAATTCCTTCTAAACACTGCAGTACTTCTGTTTTGGCTTGTTTTAATCTGTACAGAATATTGTAACATGGTCTCTGGTGGAATAATGCTGTCATCTTCATAATGTTGCAGGCAACGAAAAACAAAGGGTCATATATTGTTTGATATTAAGGCAGAGTTTAAAGGGAACATGCAGTACTGGGAGAGCTGCAGGATTGCCCATTCAACAGCTGGGAGGGACAACAGTGAGAACACAACCAGACACGGAAGTACACAGGAGAGACAAGATGTTGTTAATCAGCTGCATTTCAAATTACTTATCACCTCCAGCAGCAAAGCCTGCTCTATTCCAGCAGTTACAAAGCATGATAGAGATGCTCTACTGATGTCTTTTCATGAGCCATTTATCTAGGCTGCTGATTTTTGATTTATCCAACATAGAACATAAGGAAAATCAGGTGTTGCTCATAGAAGACCTTCCTACAGATATTTTTCTCCTGCTGTCCTTCTGAAAACTGGAAACTGCATCTACCTGGCACACAGCATTCCTGAAAATATAGTTTTTCTAAATTTCCAGTGTTTTGAAAAAAGTTTGGCTATCTGGGTATGGAATTTATTGGTAATCCCCTTTACTTAAAACTTTGTTTTCTTATCATGTAAACACTCTAGAAAGCAAGTCCAAATACTAAAATCCAAACACAATATCTTCACATGCAAAACAAAGATTGGAGCACACATGCTTTGAACACCCTTTTACCAATCTTTGATGATCATATGGCACAGTCACTGTAGGTTACCTCCCAACATCTTCCTGATCTCTCTCTTGGATGTTAACTGGGCTGGCCTCTCCCCTTTCTTTGTCAGGATGTCCTTGTCAGCCCCAGCATGCAGCAGATAAGCCACGACTGCCGCATGGTTCCGCTTGCAGGCCCAGTGCAAACAAGTCCTGCACATGGAAAACACTGTGTCAAATCCTCAGTTATGGCAGATTTGTTCCCACTCATTCTTGCTGCCTATAACAACACTCTATGTGCATGTAAAATAGGATTGAGTTGCTAACTTCATTGGAAATTTGCCCTGGACTGGGAGTCTGCAATGGCACCTGCTGATGCCATTTTCTCTTTGCTCCAATGCTCTTTACTGCAATAGTATTTTCAAAGTTCAGGATCTTTTCAATTTATCATTTCTTAGGGTACAGTCTTTAGGCTACTGGAAAAATAAGTATGAAAATAAGGTTTGTGTATGATATTTTAATCTTTGAAAGAATCAGCTGTACTTAAAATACTTGTGTTTGTGTATATGTGATCTATTACTGGTATCCCCATAGGATATGTACTCTTTAATTAATGCTGCCAGCACGACTACTTGCACTTTCTGGCAAGTAAATTTAATTTAAAATATTGTAAGCATCATTTCTAAGACCAGTTCTTTGCCCAGTTGCCATTTGCTGTATCAGCAATTACTTGGCTTAGATCTGCGGACAACTAATTTTCTGCAATCTGTAAGTGATGCACAGAACTAATCCCTTTTCTGCATTTTCAAATTATTATTTGCAGTTTCTGACTACAGAAACATATTAAGGAAACATAAAAGCTGCTTAGTGCTCAGATCTTATTTAGTGTATGTATTAAGTACTTAAAGACTCACACACTAACTTGCTATAGGGTTGTACCATTCTTTCCTACCCATGTTCTAGTGATATTTGACCCTTCTCTAGCTTTTATATTTTAATTCTCTAGCTCCAGCTGAAGGAAATTCTTCAGGAAAATGAACATGCTCAACCCTTCTCCAAGTTTGTTTATTTATTTTTTAAGAATTACATAAAATAAAGCAGAGATAAATAAACTTAGAAGGGAAAAATCTGTCAGTTGAAAGTTTTCAAAAAACTTTTTCAACTTTGGGTGGTTTGGTTTGGCAGGGTTTTTTTACAGAAAGAGACTGCAAAGTCAGACAGGGGGTATTTGCATTGAGAACAAAATTTGCTGGTTTAGTTTTTAGAGAAGATATGTAAAGCTCAACAGCACAGCCTCAGTTTGGGATTCATCCTAGCCATTCCATATGGCCTGTGCAGAGAGGAACCATCTACCCACAGGCTTGATACTCACCAAAATATAAGTGCTCTGCACCTCTAAGAATTACACATACTAAGAAGCTCACTGCAAAAATTTTAATTGTACAAACTTAAACAACAATGAGGATCCATTTATTGCCATGGTTAAAAACTACCATGCTGCAGGGTGAAGCAATATCCTGTTTTAGCTATCCCAGTGTCCCAGGTGTGCCAACCTCTCCCTTCCCCTCCCCCTTGCCCCCTTGCTAAGTGCTGCCCGTCAATCTTAACATTCCAGCAAGGGCGCAGTCTGGTTGGTGAAGTTCAAAAGATGCTCCTCAGCCTTGGGGTCACTGGCCCGTCCGGGTGTCATTGTCCCCTGAGGCTCCCCCCTCCCACCTGGTTGGTGGCACACCTTCCCCTTCCCTCCCCCTTTCCCCGGGCTTACAAAGACACGGGACCACGCCGTCGGGATTCTGTTGGAGCTGTTACCAAGATTCAGATGTCTGTGACCCTGGAATAAAACTCTGGATTTAACCCTCTGGCAGAATCCATCTCCTTTTCCTCTTCACCTTGCCTAAAGCCTTTCCATCAGAGGTAAAACCTGAGTTCCTGCTTGCCTGGGCTTGTTCCAAGCGCCAGCTGCCACATACAGCTGGCCAAAGGTGTCTCTGAGGTGAAACCACCTCATTTGCTGCCTCTGGTCGAGCAGCAAGAGCCAGACGAGCCCAGGCACGTTCCATCCGCTAATACTGGAACCTTATTCCAATACTACCAGATCATTATTTTTAAATATAATTAATTTTATTACAAGACTTATTTCATCAATTCCAGTTTTAGACACAAACTCATTCCAATGACAGGCTGGTTTTGAGTGAGAACTCACTAAGATAATTCAGGATCCTTTGAATCAGTTGTATTTTTACAAGCTTTAATTTTAATGACAGTTTAAAGCTCAAGTGGTTAAGTGTTCCATCCTTCTCAAAACTGCTGATTGAACTTTCATCTTCAAATGTCTTGCTCCTTTCCTAATTTTGTTTTTCCTGTTTTTAATTATAATGTCATAGAATCCTAGAATGGATTGAGTTGTAAGGGACCCTAAAGTTCATCTCATTCCACCCCCTGCAGAGGCAGGGACACTTTCAGCTCTCCCAGGTTGCTCCAAGCCCTGTCCAAACCAGCCTTGAACATTTCCAGGACAGGAGCAGCCAGTTTCTCTGGGCAACCTGTGCCAGGGCTTCCCCACACTCACAGGGAAGAATTTTTTCCTTACATCTAATCTAAGTCTCTCCTCTTTTAATTTAAAACTGTTCCCCCTTGTCTTGTAACTATCTGTCCGTGTAAAAAGTTGTTTCCCCTTTTTTATATATTTTCAAGCATGAAACAGCACAGTAAATACAGGCTGAATTGAGCCTGCAGAAAACAGTCTCCAAAAATGTCTTAGCATTCCCTCGAAAATCTTCCTTCAAATAAAATTATGTGTGTGTTTATGTCTACAGTGTTACTTGTACAAGTGTGTATTACAGAACAGCCTCCTCTTTAATGTCCTCAGGTGGATCTAAACGAGATGCCAAATCCCCAAGTGTTTGTATACATCGCTAGAACAAGTTCCCTGCTTGAAAGAGAAAGTAATTTTCAAACTTGAGTTAATAATAAATATTTCTGCTTAGGCAATATCAGGTAAAGCTGAGGTTTGTGTTCTGACAGACCACACTGTCTCAGGCTGGGGAAAAAAAAAATCAAAACCAACACTACCAAGTAAGTCCACAATGACCTAGAGAAGGGGCAGACAGGGCAGGAGGTGGAGCGAGGACGCGTGTTTGTGACCCTGGTTATCCTCTCTGGGATAGGGACAGCTCCATAGCAGAGTATTGGGAGGCGGATCGACCTTTTCCTTCCTCCTCAGTTCACCCCGCCTCGCCTTTCACGTGCGGAGCGAATGGACAGCAGCGTCGGCACGGGACCGCCCGGGCCGAGCTCCCCGGGAGGCTGGGTGCGGGGGGCGCCCTTACCATCCGTTGACTTCGTTCTGGGAGTTGAGGCCGACCCCCAGCTCCACGAGCCGCCGCACCTCCTCCGCGTCGCCGAGCGCCGCCGCCTCCCTCAGCCGCTCCTGCCGCTCCCGCTCCGCCATCTCCCCGCAGCCGCCGCCCGCCTCCCGCATCGCCTTCCGCGCTCCCGCGGCCGCGCCGCGCCTCCGCCGCTCCCCCCGCCGTGCTCCGGCGCGGGGGACACTATTGCCGGTGACAACCCGGCCCCGACAGCCGGTTCCGGGGCGCGGCCGCTGCCCGGGGACGGGCCAGACCGGGCAGTCCCGGGTAAACGTTGTTGAAATGACATACAGAGGCATCGTTATGTGCTGTCTCTTGCTCTGCTGATTGTTTTTGCGGGCTCTCGATTTATCCTAGAGTGAATTATGGAATCATCGACTGTTAAGTGTTGGGAGGGACCTTAAGATCATCTCGTTCCACCCGCCCCAGCCGCTCTCCACGGGCAGCGACACTTTTCACTACACCGGGTTATTTAGAGGCCCCGTCCAGCCTGGTATTGGACACTTCTAGGGGTGGGCCACATTTCTAGCTCACTGAGTGTCTGTGGTAATTTAAATAAGATTAATTTTATACCGTGGTTTTACTCAAGGAAAGAAGAACTTTATTATAACCACTGTTGTGCAAAAATCTTCTGCTAAAGAGGCTAAATAGATTCAGAAAAAACTGGATTTGCCTGGTAACTCCATGAGGAGGTACTGAAGAGATTTTTAAGATTATGATGATTTGGGTTGGGAAGGAACATAACACTTATCCCGTTCCAACCTCCTGCCATGGGCAGGGACAACTTCCACTAGACCAGGTTGCTCCAAGCCCTACCCAGCCTGGCCTCGAACACTTCCAGAGATGGGGCACCCTCTTGTCCTGCAGAGGAAACTTATCATCTTTGTGCATTCTCAGCAGTCAAAGAATCCCTAAAAAACATAAGTAAAATAAAGAGCACTATCTGTCTGCAAAGCAACTGGAAAGATTATAGGTAATTCCTGCCATTTTCATGGTTTGGTTTGAAAAGCTGATTTTTGTCATCATGGATTTGTCCTAATCCAAGTTACAGAGTGGTCAGTAAAAACTTTACCACTATGAAAAGTCAAAATAATAATTTCAAACTTCACTCAGACTTTTGTATTCCAGGTTGCTCTGTGCAGCCTTGGCAGAATGCCAGGGAATTCTGGGTAGTTGGTCTCCAGTGTACCTGTTTGTTTCCTTGATGCAATCAGAACATTACAAAGAAACTGAAACAGCCCAAGTTTTGCCCCGGTTTCCAGCATTAGCACCCCACCTTCCCTCCCATCCCCAAACCGAGACTGCAGGATATTGACTGAAAATTCATACCATATCTTGTGCTACATTGATTTCAATCACACTGTTTCAACCGTTCCGTTGGGTTTTTAAATCATTTCAAGCTGGAAAGCTTGAAAGAAGTTCACAGTGCTGCATCAGGGAGACATTTCCAAAAGGAAACTCCTCAGATAACAACTGGTGCTTGCATGAAGCCCTCAGTGATGCTGAACAAAGTTGCTGTCAGTCTAAGCCTGTTTTACAGGATCAGCATGAACATTGGCTTCAAGCGGTTCAAAAAATATTATATAATTCAAATTTTAATTAGTTGTATGTACTTAGGACATTCAAAATTATGTTGAGCAATTGTAAAATAGTTGACAATTTCTATGTGAAATTCAGTATATATTGAGTACAAAGTAACATCTAGAAAAGAAAACAAAGTGGACTGCTTCCAAGGTCAAAGACTAAGATTTTTGTTACATATGCAGGACTTCTATTCTCCCTCAACCTGTGAAGCATGGGACAGGCTTTCCAGAGAAGTGGTGGTATCATCCCTCGAAGCATTCGAAAAATGTGTGAATATGGCACATGAGGACATAGTTTATTAGTGAGTGTGGTGATGGCTGGACTGGATGATCTTAGAGGCCTTTTCCAACGATAACGATCCTACAATTCCCCGAATTCCTATGTGAACATGCACAGCTGGAGGAACTCAGAACAGGGACTCAGAAGGAGCGCATCAGGAGCAGTTTGGGTGACTTTCTCCTGCCAGGATGGAGAGGGGACAATGACACTGCTTCAGCTGTGCTCAGGCCCGTGTCCTTAGCCTCCAGCCATGACCAGCTAGGCCACTAGCATGTTGTCTCTGTGCTGTGTCCCTGCATTCTGACACTGCACTGGGCTGGACACTCTCTGTCGTGACAAGTTACCATGTGCAGTGATACCACACGGATCTGGACAGCATTTGTCAGGATACCTCACTGGGCAGGCGCCGTCTGTGTGGCACCCGCTGCCCCTTACGCGGAGCCACACACGACTGTGGTGGTTCCGCGTTCCGGTGTTTGTGGGGACTCCCCGTTCCCCCTGCGCGCCACACGGCTGCTCGGGCTGGGCAGCGCGGAGGCGCCGTGAGGGAGCGGGAGCACGGCGGGCTCGGCCCGCGCGGTGCATTGTGGGCAGGGCCAGCCACCGCCGCCATTTTGTCTCCGTCAGGCGCGGCGCGGGTTGTCGGGGCGAGGTGGGCGAGCTGGTGTCTGGCGAGGGGGATTCGGCCCGCATCTCACGATGATATCGGCCGCCCAGCTCCTCGATGAGCTCATGGGCAGGGACAGGAACCTGGCCCCGGATGAAAAGCGCAGCAACGTGCGGTGGGACCACGAGAGTGTGAGTGTAGCGGGGCCGCCTCTCTCCTCCCTCCGCTGCTCTCGCGCACTGCGCGGAGCCGGGGGTTTGTCGGAGCGACATGGGCGGCTTCTCTTGGCCAGGGACAACTGCGGGAAGGAGGGAGAAGGGGGGAAGAGGGAAGGCATGGCGTGGAAGCCAGAGCTGGGGTTTCCGCGTGGGTTGTCGCGGTGCGGGTCGGGGCCCTCCGTGCTGGGCCCTGCATGGCGGCCTGGCGCGGGCCGGCCCTGGCCGTGCGCGGGACCGGCGCCGAGTCTCACCGAGCAGGAGGAGGAAGATCCCGACACAGCCGGGCTGTTGTTGGGCTGCAGGAGGGACAGACCCGGTGTTCGGGTGTCTGCGGGGGAAGGCTGTGCCCGCCGGCGCCGCCGTTAACGGGAACGGGGGTTTCCAGAGAGCTGCTGGTGGCTGGGGTCTCCCGGGGCGGCTGAAGGAATTCAGCGCTTGTGAGTGGAAGGTGCTGACTTGCACGATGGGGGTTGAGACAGATGTTCGAGTTTGGGAGATAAATGTATCTGGATCCCTTCCTGAGGATGGTGCTGGGGGAGGGAAAAGGAAGGCACGCGCGACCGACTTTAATGTCTGGAGCTTGTACTACAAGGAAAAGTCCTAAGACTTCTAGTTAAGAAAAAGTTGATTTTTTCTCTATTTCCTCACTCAGAAGAATCTGCTTGGGAGGGTTGGACGGACATTATCCTAAACAAGACTGTTGTTTAGGAGTACTTAACGTACTTTTGTTAATGTGGTGTTCGTTCATTTTCTGCACTAAGTAGCCGAAACAGGACAACATTACTACTATTATTATTATTATTATTATTATTATTATTATTATTATTATTATTATTATTATTATTATTATTATTATTAATTGGGGTTTCTGCAGTTGGTTGAGCTTTAATGAATGATGGGTTAGTTTTGGCTATTATAGTTGCATTGTAAGTTACTTCAGGAAAACTCAGTGGTACCTACAGAGTTCCTATAGCTGCTGCTTTGGGAGAGATGAACACTGAGGAATTTTTAAATTTTATGTTCTCCCGTTCATGATATCTTTTTTTCGTAATGATGTATGTTAAAAGAAAGTGTCACAGTTGCAATAATTTATGTCTTGAATGATAGGGATTTCTGTGGTTAAAGCTGCACAAAGCATTTAGCTCCTCCCCCTGTGTTGTTGTTTATTTGGGGGGAGGGAGAAATGCTTGCATTAAATCATGTTAATCTAAGACATGTTTTCATGTTTTTATATGCGATTTAGGTCATTATAAAGAAGGATAATACTTGTTTGAATTTGTTTGGAATGGTTGGGTTTGTATGATCTAAGGACCAATCCCTATCTTACCTTAGAGTTTTCAAGTGTGAGGAACCATTCTTTCCCTGGAAAAGTGCTGCTCTGTAGATAAGAAGTGCACATCAGGAAGAAATCATGATTTCAGGAAGTTTTCATGACCTTGTTTATGTGTTTCTAGACTTACTTTATTAAGAAAATAATTCAGTTGAGTGCTCGGTTAGATAATTTCCTTTGTTTGTGAATTTAAAATAAGGAGGAGTTAGATGAAATACATGGAATACAAGGTGAATGGCTTGAGCCGTGTTGGCCCAGGTAGAACAGATAAGGTGATTGGTTTGGTTTATTCGTTAAGTTGAGAAGGATTTCTTTGTTGGTTTTTGTTTTCCCCATCATTCGCTTTTAGTAAGTTCAGATTACCTTCTTCATCTTCAGTTGAACAAATCACAGAGTATTTTCAGTTTTTCTTTTTGCTTACGGCTTTGGCCTGTAGAGTTTGACTCCAACCAAATGACTCAGTCTCTAAGCTGGTCAGTTTTGTTGATACAAAAACAGGGCCTTGTCTCTCCTTCGCAGTCCTGTGACAGTTCAGAAAAGGAGCACTGGCCCGTGGCTGAGAGCAGGGGGAAAGTTACAGGCTTAGGGTTGAGCCTTCAGTCCTGCAGGATCTGCTGCTGTTTGCTGCTGCTTTTATTTATGATTAAATACAACCTTTCTGCAAGGAATGTTTTCCTGGATTCCTGTAGTCCGCTGATGAGGTCATAAACCCTGACAATTACTGCCGTTAAACACGTGTCTCACTTTGACTTTCTTTGTCACCTAAAGATTAAATTTGCAATGCTGACATGTTTTAAAAGACAGGAAATGCAGATAAGGTTCAAATGGTAACATGAATTCCTCTGCCTGCTGTCCTGCTTTTCAGGTGAAATACATCTGCTAATGTAATTTCTTGAGATTAGACATTGATCAACATGCAGCCTGCTCAATGCCAGCATGTTGTATTGATCCCATAGTGTAGGATTTTGTGTCACATTTCATCAGTTTTGAATGTGGAAGATTACCAAGAAGCTCATCTGTATTTTGCTTATTCTTTGGAGATTGCATCCACGTGGCTCTCAGAAACTGGAGGGTGCAGTGAAATACAAGATGAAAGTGGAAAGTGTG